GCTCCTGTGGTGCCAGCGACTCCCCACATGGAGAAAGGGAAGGAAAAGGGCAACAGGGGCTGGGAGCAAGATTGGAGCCACCATCTGAAACGCCAGCCGTGTCCCCACAGCCGTGTCCGTGCAGCTGTGCCCAGGGTGAGGGGGTGGGGAGGGAGCTGTGAGCCCAGCTCTGGCCCTCAGCCCCGCGGGCACTGCTGAGCAAGGAATAGGGGTGATTTACTTGTTTATTTGCTGCCAACGGAGCCTGAAAGGCTGGGGGGGTGGAAAAACATCTCGGTGCTGATTGATAGATGCTGGGAAGCTCTGCAGCCAGGCTCGGGTCTTATCTCTGCTGAGGTGTCTGTCTGAGCGGCAGCTGGCTCCTGGGATGTCTGGGTGCGTTCGGCTCCCGGAGTTTCCCTGGAAGCCGGCAGGGAGCCCAGGCTTCGAGCAGTGCCAATGAATACCCAACAGCAATGAACAGCGGGCTCGGGGAGAGGCGCTCACATGCCGGCTGCCTGCAAGCTGCCGTGCGGGGAGCAGCATCCCGAGGGATGCGGGGAGCAAACACCCCCCGGGCCACACGCTGAGATTCCGGGATGGGGCCGGCGCTTCCAGCTGGGAAAGGGAGCAGCCCCATGAGAACAGCAAGAGAAAATTAAACCAAGGGAACCCCCACCCTGAGCGCAGGCAGACCGGCTTTGGGAAGTGCCTCCCTCCCCAGAACGCCACCGCTGCCGTGTTTTAACGCTTCCAGAGCCAAACGCGGGCACCCTCGTGCTCCAAAAGGGCCGTTTTCAGGGCAAAACGCCGGCCCCGGGGTTGCTCGAACCCGCTTGTCCCCTCCCCAGCCGAAAGGAGAAGTGAAACAATTATTCAGCTCGTGTGGAGCAAAACAATCGGTGTCAGCCTCAGGCATTTTCCAGGTCTGCGAGCAAGGGGAAGAAAAAAACCATCCAAACCACAACAAACACATCTGTGCCCATTTCAGCTCCTCTCGGGCAGGAGGGGGTTCGTGTGCCGGGTCAGAGCAGCTCCCACACGGGGCTGCTGGGGCTGGCACCGCCCCGAGCCCCCTGCCCAGGGGGTCCCTGGCTCTGGGCTGAAAACTGCGGCCACGAGGCTCCCAGTTCGCTCCTTATTTCCCCCTCTGCCAAGACGTGATTTGTTGCTGTTTTCAGAGCCTGGGAAACCCTGATTCAGCCCATCCCACGGGGATGCTTCCCGGGGCCGGGGGCTGCGGGGGGTGCTGGGCACCGGCCGGGCCTGTGGCCGGATGCAGGACGGACCCCTCCCCTTCCCGCTCTGTCCCCGTGGCCCTTGGGGTGCGGGACCCCCCGGCCCGACCGGGATGTCCCGGGGGCGGGGGCATTTCTACCCTCCGCCGTCTCCATCGCTTCGGCGGGTCCGCCACCCGCTC